TACATATGTACAATACGTATAGGACATATAGACACATAGATGCTTATACGTTACCTTTTACAGGTAGTTATACATACACAGACACACACACACACACACATATATATATATATATATATATATATATATATGAGTGTAAATTTCATGATGAATGGACCAAAGGAAATGCCCCAAAATTACTTGGAAAAAAGTCTGGATGTTTCATACTTGCTTACATTCAGTATGTATCAGACTTACGTGTGACCCCATGTTCTGACATTGTATAAAACAGTGTTTGTGTGCCTTTGTACATATGTGGACGTCTTTGAAGCCTGTCACTGTGTTATTTTTGACTCATTCCTCTGCTGTTCCTGCCGTTCCAGCTGATTTTGGCTGATTAGATTAGAAAGTCATCCTAACTTCAGATCTGACTCACACCCTGCGAGCGAGCTCTGAGAACAGTCGTCTGCATTGTTACACAATGGCCTGAACCCACGGCCTGCATTTGCTTCTTGTTGACAGCGCAGGCCTTTGCACTCTTTCCGGGAGTGAAAGCTGCGTTGACACTTGGCTGTAAGACGCAACACCCTGAAATCATCCGCTGATGCTTCCCTCGTCATTGGCTTCTCTTGTGAATCTTGTGAATTCAGTGTTTAGCAGCACTTGTGAAGAGCTATCAGTTTCTGCATTTGTGCAAACAGCAGTGTCATCCCTTTTAATGTATGTGAAATTAGCCTGTATCTGCAGTCAGTCTGAAACTAGCCTGTATCTGTCTTGTGATCCATTCAACACAGCCTAATAGCAGTTCCTCCTCTTTTATGGCTATAGAATTAGTCTATATCTTTCATTATTGTGCTCCGGATCTTACTGTCTAATAGCGGTGCCTCCTCGTCTACACCTATGAAATTATCATGTGTCTGCAATTAGCCTGAAATCAGCCTGTATCTGTCATCATCGTGCTCTGAATCTTATGGTACACAGCCTGCATCACTTGGGTGTGCATAACCATTTTTGTGTGTTCTACATTCAAAGCATTGTTAAAAATGCCTTTTTGTCTTGCCTCTGTATTTATCCACTTTTATTATTTATTTTTTTGCCTAACACCTCCCGTTGTATAATAAAGAAAAAATGGCCATCTGTTATTCTGCTGAGCGTATGCGCTGCTTCGTGTCTAAAAACAGTAGCGGAGAGAGTCCTTAACAGAGGCCAGAATGCCTCAGGCTGGAATATCATATGACCCTTTCAAGGTGACTGTGTCCATGAGCCTCGGGTTAAAGGCCTCACAATCGTCTACATCACATAGTGTCTCCACAATATGGAACAAAGTGAGCAGAGGTTAGATTATCATAAAGCCTGTAAAGCACATGTGAATAGTAAGAAATAGTAAGAAACATGCTAACAGCATGTTTTTGTTACATGAGTTAAACTGTAACTACACAAAATTGGCTCTTATTCAAGATCTATAATGTGTGCAAAGGCTTTAAAAATCTACATCTGCTGCAGTTTTACAATTAATGGTGAAAATACGTATTTACAAATGAAATATAAAAGGGGAGTGTTATGGGGGCTAGCACTGAGCAGGTCTGCAGTACACTGGTGCAGAGTTATCTGTGAAATATGAAAGAACTATGAGCTCAGAGGGAGATAACTCAGTCTGGAAACATATACATGACAGTAAACTCATTGTTGTTCCCTCCAGATTAGCTGTTCGTAATGACTTCTTAGACCGTTTTTAACATTAAACTAAACTGGTCTAGCACCACACAGTAAAGCCATTGTAGAACATGTGGACAGGGTCCAGTGGCGTCATTTGGAGGCCAAAATGTTCCTTTTTCCTGCTAATCATTAACCAATTGACCTTCCTCTTGGCAGAAATAAATGACTCTTGATATTATCAGAAACACATTTCAGATTTCATCAATAGTCTGTCTAGCATGAGCCTTTTCCCATCTCATCAGTGACCCTAGAATGCCATTTTCACATTTGCTTTAGTGGATATGCCAACTAATGGATGTTGAGAACCCTAGGGATGTAACAATACACAAAATTCAGAATTCAATTTGACATGATACAGCAGTGCCTTGTTTGAATGATTTTAGGAAAATATCTAATTGTAATTCAGTTTCAGACCAGTATAGTGACTATGATCTAAATTGTGAAATTTTCAATGCATTAAGGTCCAGGACTGTTTTTCTGGCCAAGAAGACCAGCTTATTCACATTTAATAGCATCAGACCCAAACACTGAACTCTGGATGCCAGATGGCCAGTTAGTTGTGGTTGTGTTGTCATCTTATGGCTGCTCACTTGGTTCTGATTGGTCTAACTACAGGCAGTTCACAAGCCTTTAGGTTGTGATTAAAATTTCAGCTCTTGCGATTTGAAAATTGCTCTTTCAAATTGCTATTTTGAAATAAATGAGATTGATCTTTCAACCCATTTGGTAGGGATGTGAGTTCTGACTAATTCTGTTATTAGAGTATTCAAGTTTTAGAGTTAATGAATGGATATCCAATATTTAGAGAATTAAATTTACATGTACTTAATAATCCAATAACTACAGAAAATCTGATTTTGTCAGTAATTCGGTTGACACGTTAACATGCACTTGGGTAATCAGATAATGGGGAAACTCTGGGCTTACATGAGTCAGGCAGTAATCGGATTTCTGCTTTGCTGCCAGTCAATAAACTCACAGAAGAAGATGTGACATAAACGTAATGTAAAACTTTAAAAAAAAAAAAAAATTGCGCCACTTTACCTGAAAATATGAACAAACATCATCTAGAAGACAAAGAATATTTAAATGCTTCATTTTGTCGAGAATGTAGTTGTTTCAGCGTCGTCTCGCGGCATCGCTGCTTATTTCCAGCACTGGACCGTGTTCGCACATGCACAGACTGAGAAATCTGAAAGAAATCAGAGTAAGAGTTTACATGCAGTGAGAAATCTTAGAAATCCAGCTCTCTTTAACATATTTCTTAATTGGATTTCTAGACTTTACTCCAATCTAAGAAATAGGAGTGTGCTGTTTACATGACCGTTTGAATAATCAGATAACTGCAGAAATCCGATAATGATCAGATTATTGAGTGCATGTAAATGCCCTCAATGTTGTACAATAATCTAGAAGCATGCAGAGGAATACATTTGAGAACGTTTTATTATTAAAAAAAAAAACAGCTGAGGAAAACTGGTAGGTTGTCATGTTAGTTAATGAGTTAACAGGGCTAAAAAGTGTCATGTTGGATGTTGATAAGGTCCTGTCTGCTACATGAAGTATTTTTTCCTCAGTGGATGATGAGCCAACATGTTATTTGTTTCTGGACATAGCAACAGTAGTTATCCTTAACTATGCGTCCTTGGCAGCAAGATCATCTTCAGGTACTTGTGTTTCATAATAGCAAAGTATGACACAAAATACTCACAAATGCAAGCAAAACATTTAAAAAACAGTAATTTCAGTATTCAAATAATGGCACCTCGAACAGTTAATTGAGTACTTGAGTAACCGTGCACGTGTCAACTATTCGATACAGCAAAAATGTACCATAATAACACATTAATGTTTAAATTTTCAGTTTAGTAGCACATACAACATTACAAGAATACAATTTCTGAAACAAAAAGTTGTCCTTTATAGCAGGGTTTCTCAACCTGTGGGCCACCAGTGGCCATGAAGCAATTTGTAGTGGTCTATGGGCCTGTGCTTAGGGGGAGGCCGTAGTTCGTAATGGGACGGTAAGGTGGAAAAAAAGATGAACTTAACAATTAAAAATCTAAAAATCGAATCATAACCAATAAAATATTAATAGAGACGTACACATAAAAACATCGCAGTAGCAGGCTGATTAACTGTCATCAGTCAACACTGGTGCGCGATGCAGACAAGCGAGTTCACAAGTCAGATATGGAGCAGTTTCTCAGGGCGCTTTCACACCTGCCTTGTTTGGTGTGGACTTACACCTTTTTTCTTTAGTTTGCTCCTTTTTGATGTGTGTGAACACTCCACCCATACTTGGGTCTGCAGCAGACAGCTGAACTGTTTTTTACGGCAAAAAACGTGCTTCCAAACGAGCCCTGGTTCAGTTCAGTGCTGGTGGGAACACAGTCTCTGCAATTATTAACAGAGCTGTCTTTCTTCCTCTAGCAGCACGTCGGCGTTGTACTGTCAGCATAATCTGCCTGATTTTACATCTGACTTTTTACAGACTCTCAGCATGAGCTGCTGTTAAAAACGACAGACGAGCCATAACATAATAGCAAAGACATGCATTTGATTTCAACTCATGGGTCGTAACGGAGCATATTTTTGGCCGAGCGTCAGCGACCTGGGTGGTTAAACTCAATAATATGTTGATAGTGAAAGCATTAATCTAAAAGCTGAGTGGAGCTAAAACCCTCAAAACTAAAGAGGCCAAACGATTCCTCTTGAGAAGGCCAGTGGAGTATTTTCAGTGAAAATTCAATGGACTGCAGCTCCAAATCAGAAGTCCACATCTACCTCGTACATTTCTATTCTTTTTCTCCCTTTTTAATATCACTACAGTCATGTTTTTTTAACCTGTCATGTTTCTTTTTAACATAACTGCAAATTTAGCAAATCTACTGACAACCGGAATGGATGATCTGATCTTTTTCAGACCTTAATTCTCAGGTTTTCAGTGTTAGCATTTAAGAAAAGAAAATTGTAGTTTTAAAAAGTTGGCTTTAGCCTTCCTGTGGGCCGATATGCTTTATAGTTATAAACAGGTGGGCTTTGGGGTGGAAAAGGTTGAGAACCCCTGCTTTATAGTATGTTGGTCTAACGTACAGCCACAGTCTAGAATTTTAGGCCAAGCTAACACACTAGCCACACTCTAACACGTTAGCCATGATTCGCTACATTACAATACGCTGTATTTTTGCATTCTTATACATTTCTTATCTCCAGGCACGCTTGTTCAGGTCGATGAAAAGACGTGCGCCCTTTTGCCTCTGGGTTTCTGACTGTATGTTTCTCCTTGTGTCATAGGTCTGTAGATACTTTGCACCAGTATTGCTGCCCTGCTCCGTTGTACAATAAGCAGCTAGCTGTGCCTGCCCCTCTCAAAGAGTGCAGGTAAGAGGCCCTCTAGTCCGGTCACGTGCCTTCCTGGTACGTGGAAGCATCCCTAATGTCAGAAGACAGTGCTCTCTAAGATTTTAGATCCATTTCAAAGGGATAGGTCATGCTAATATGGCTAACAGTAGTGGCAGTTTGACTGCATGCTAACTGCCACTAGCTGGCATGGTGTACGTTTACTAGCATTCAGTTGTTATTACCCATGTTAGCATTTTTGGTTGAAATCTCCTTTATCCCTTAGTCTGCTGGGAGTATTGTGAGCATTTTTATCTGAAAATAAAAGAAATGTAGAAATAACTCAAAACATTTGCCTTGCATGGTTAGGGATTGTGTATAAGGTATGCTTAGACAATAATTCCAAACAGTGCACTATTTTAAAATAATTTTGTTCCAGTTTCGTGTTTCATAAGTCACGCATTGATCAGTGTTGCTGTCTGTACACTTGTTTTAACTCTCATCCAATAACATCTCCCATTTATCCTCTGTGCGGAACACAGCTGCATTTCCTAAATCGGTTTTCATTTCAGTGCATGTGTAAACCTCACCGCCCTATTATTAGTAGCTACTTACATTTTATAAAGCATTCAATTTACATTAGAAGTATGTTGTGCCATTGCCAAAGTGAGCGACTGTGAAATTGCTTTCCCATATTTACTCTTCCATTATAAATTTTCATTTAAAGCTTTGATTAAATGTATTTGCTGTAATTCCAGTGCATTAAATTATACATTCTTCTAACTGCTTGTTTTTTTTCTGTTTATCCTAGAGCAAGAAAAGTGCTGGTTAATTATACATTCATTTCTTTCATTTGTTTTTACTGCAAAAATATTCATTAAAAACCTCCATAAGCAGAAAATCATATTGGTAGGAAATTGCTTGCCTTTCTGAAAAGACATGGGTTGTTTGATACCATACCAATGGATTTACTGTGGAATATAAATCTAAACAGGCTTTAATTTTAGTTTGACAAAAATGCCTAGTCCCAAAACATGCTTACTCAAGCTCATGCCTCCAATTTAAACCGCTTTGATGCAGCTCAAGGCACATGAAGCCATGCATCTTTGATTATGTATGCCTAAAATGTCACCACTGTGTATCTCCTCAGTCTGCGCAGGCTGTCACCCAGCTAGCACATTATTTGCACTTCTGGTGCTTGGCCCCTACATTGCTGCACTGGCGAATCCACAGAGACTGATGAGACTTCACTTGCTCTGTTTGATCACACAGTCAAGTTCTAATGGAGTGGTGATTAAAGCATTCACTCGTTCATCTTCAAAGACCCACAGCACACTGATCGGCCTGTTTCATTAACGTGTCGTTCCCCGTGGCTACAGTGTGATGGATAGAAGAGATCTTGCCGTTCTCTCTAAGCCTGACCTCTTCTACACCCTTACAAGTTAAAAAGAGCAAGGGAAGGTTTTTGTGCTAAGCTTGTTTAATATTGTTCTCTACAATGCATTCAAATATACAGTGGTCTCCAAAAGTATTTGGACACTTTAGCCATTTAACCGTTGGTAAACGTTAATGTTCTTTAGGTTACTTTATAAAATGTTAAGCAAAATTTGTTTCAGAGAAAAACACTGAAAATCATACTGATGGTAGATTCTTTTTGTGGAGAAAAGCTGGAGAAGAATGCCAACCAGACTGCACTGATGGTACTGTAAAGGACAATCACACTTGCGTTTATCGAATTTCTCGCAGGACAGATTATTTTCATTTCAATGGAATTTGCCATGATGTGCGATTTTGTCTCAGACATCCAGGGCATTTCTTCACCACAGAGATTGTATGATGCACATATTATTATTATTATTATTACTATTATTATTATGCATTATTATGCATTATTATCTTTACTTTTGTGGTTTCGCGCTTGTGCTGCACAGAAGTCACTCCGCTGTTGCCAGCCATGCCAACTACCTATACTTTGCCACATAGCGGTGTGTATTATACTGTGGCGACTGTATTATTATCTGATATAATTATATCCACTTTTGTGTTTTTATTGTTTGTGGTAGGTGAGTTGATGAGCTTGCTAACTGCAATGTTAGCTCCTTGGCTAACCACAGCTGCACACAAGTCTCCCCGCTGTTGCCAGCTATGACAATTACCTATGCTTTTTTGCCACATAGCATTGTGTATTGCACTGTGGCGACTACATAATTACCTGACATAATTATATTCACTTTTGTGTTTTTATTGTTTACGTTAGGTGAGTTAGTTGGCTTGCTAACTGCTGTGTTAGCTCCTTGGCTAACCACAGCTGCACAAAAGTTTCTCTACTGCCATGCTGGTTATCTATGCATTTTTTGCGACAGATAATTGTGTGTAGCACTCTCGCAAGTATGTAATTATTTGACGTAATTCTGTCTTTACTGTTTATGGTTAGCAAGTAGGCTACTATGCAAACTGCCCCAACATGGATGCATACCACAAATGTCTACTGTGGCTGTTTTTCTTTCAGTGGCGTTGGTAAGCTTGGGTTCATTGAAGGGGCTATGAATTCAGAAGACATTTTTGGATGCAAACCTGCAGAAATCTGCAAAGAAACTACTCAAACGATGACAGACTGAAACTCACCAGCCACCTTTTAATAGAATGCTTTACCAAAAAGAAAGTCTTGGAATGGTCTGTTTATAATAAATGCCACATGGTTGGACATTTTATTGATTAGCACAATAAATAAAGCGTATCATAAATGCCCAAATATTTCAGAGGCTACTGTATATTTCAGGCGTCGGCAACATCTGACTTCGGAGCCGCATGTGGCTCTTTTACTGTCCTGTTGTGGCTCCACAGCAGAATTAGATTTTTAGGTAAAAAAGCATCTTAAATGCTGGAGTTAATGTATAACTGCTAATTTGATTAATTTGTCAAATGCTAAAAAGTTGTGGGGCTGGAGTCAGCTTCTCGTTCGCCAGCCTCTTGTTTGAATTGTCCCGTTTCACCTTAAATGGTGCAGCAGTTACATTCTAGCGGCTGGAACGGGAAAAGAACATGAAGCTGGCAGATGAGAAGCTGAATTCAGCCTCGTAAAACGTTAAACGTTAAGAGACATTTTACAAGAAACTGTTCTACTTTTGTGAAAAGGTTTCCTGCTGGAGATGCGAGAAAAGCGGCTATAGCTGAGCTAAAGCTTAAAGCAGAGCAAAGTGAGTCTGTGTTTTCGTTTATATTATATTTTTCGTCTATACTAGGACATTAGCTAGCACATATTAAGACATATTATCAGCCAAGATGGTGAAACGTTACTCCAATAAAATGGATGTAAAATGCTGAGGCTCCCAAAGTGGTTTCATTTTTGTTGAAAGGACAGAATGGCTCTTCTTAACATTTGGGTTGCCGACTCCTGGTATATTCTACAAGCAAATCTGAGAAGTCCACAGTTTCATTCATCATTCTTCCTCATTCCCCACTTAACCATCATATCATGAAACTGGAATCAAAAGATCTTAACCACAGCTGTCCTATCCTGAACTAGATGTTTTAGCTTTTTTCATCCTTGAAACAATGTAAAATCAAGTACAGTGTCTTTCTAGATCACAGTGAAGTGGCATGCGTGTTCTTTGTCGATCTGCCTTTCCTGCTAGGGAAGATAACAGTCTTCACCAGTTCTGTTGCCCACCCTCTGGAAGCAGCAGCCCTTCAAGATAGCGTCCTGCAGGACACAGAGGACAGCAGAGCGTCCAGCCCAGCCTAGGACTCCTCTACCCTTTCCCCTTCTCCAAATCCTCTCGTCTCTTATGGAGCTCCTCATCTCTCCTCTGCATGTGTAGTCTATATATGGAGCTCAACCATCTTAGAATTGATCTATTCAGGCTCCGCCCACAAACGTCTTCTTTCATAGTAGCTGTCTTGAGGTTGGACAGCCTTTATAGAGTGCTGACAAAAATCATCCTGAAGGCTTTAGGTTGATGTTTAGAGCCATTGCATAAAGTTAAGCTTCCAGTCTAAAATACTACAAGACCAAGACAGACTGTGTTGTTGTGGCTAATTGAAACAACTGGGGTGTAAACAACAACACTGAATTCTGCCCCCAAGCTAATTTTAGCTTGATTACTCGACAAAAACCTCTCCTACTCTATCTGTCTGTCTGTCTTTTACTCTGTCTGTCTGTCTGTCACCCTCTGTCTCTCTCTTTCTGTCTGTAACTCTGTCTGTCTCTTACTCCATCTTTCTCTCTCTCTTTGTGTGTCTCTCTGTCTTTTTGTCTCTCTGTCTCTTATTCTCTTTCTCTGTCTCTCATTCTGTCTGTCTCTCTTTTTCTATGTTTGTCTCTTTCACTCTGTCTCAGTTTCTCTCTCTGTCGCTCTGTCTCTCAGTCTGTCTGTCTCTTATTCTGTCTGTGTATCTCCCTATTTAACTCTCTCTCTTCTTGTCTTCCTCTTTCTCTGTATCAGCGTGTCTGTCTGTCTCTCTCTCATTCAATATATCCACCTGTTTCCCCGTCTGTTTGTCTGTCTGTCTCTTTCTTAGTCAGTCTCTCTGTTTCTCTCTGTCTGTCTCTCATTTTGTATGTCTGCCTGTCTCTGTCTGTCTGTCTCTCTGTATGTCTCTCGCTCTCTCATTGTGTCTGTTTCTCTTTCTGTCTATCTTTCATAATTTGTCTCTCTTTCTTTATCTCTCTCATTCTGTCTTTCAGCCTGTCTGTCTCTCTCATTTTGTCTGTCTGTCTCTCTCATTTTGTCTGTCTCTCACTTTCTGTCTGTCTCTTTCATTTTGTCTGTATCTCACTTTCTGTCTGTCTCTTTCGTTTTGTATGTCTCTCAATCTAGGTCTGTCTTTAATTGTGTCTGTATGTCTCTCACTTTCTGTCTGTCTCTCTCATTTTTTTATCTCTTTCTCTATCTGTCTCTCTCGTTTTTTCTATCTCTCGATCTCTGTCTATTTCTCTCATTTTGTCTGTCTCTCTCTCTGTCTGTCTTTCTAATTTTGTCTGTTTCTCACTTTCTGTCTGTCTCTCATTTTGTCTGTCTCTCACTCTCTGTCTGTCATGTTGTCTGTCTCTCACTTTCTGTGTCTCTCTCTTTTTATCTGTCTCTTAGTCTGTCTCTCTTATCTGTCTCATGTTGTCTTACTCACTCTGTGCCTGTCTCTCACATTTTATCTGTCTCTCACTCTCTGACTGTGTCTGTCATTTTGTGTCAGTCTGTCTCTCTGTCTGTCTGTCTCTCTCTCATTCTGTCTCTCTATTTGTGAGTCAGTCTCTTGAATGAGATTTTTGTCAACCTGCTGTAAAGCTTGTCCAACCTGGCAACTGTTGCTATGAAAACAAGCATTTGTGGGCAAAGCCTGGATACATCAGATTGTCCAGGATTAAGAAGAGTCTACTCTAGATTAAACCTCATTGTGTCTCATTCTTCCTGCTGTTGTCCGTTACTCCTCTGGGGTGAGGATGGTGCTCTTCCTGCAATATTTTAGTGAGCGCAGTCACAGAGGATCATGATTATTTTGCACAGCAAGAGAATCTGAAATGAAACTCCGAGTGAGTCAGTAATAAAACTCATTTTGGAGTAAAACGCTGCATGTTTTGAGGAGTCATTAATATTACGGGTACTGTAGCTACTGTACTTTTTTGCTTGTGTTAATTAATAAACTGCCATTCAGAAGTTTGGAATCAGTATTTTCAACAATATAAAACCATTTTCTGAAGATTTTAAATGGAATTTTAAATGTGCCCAAAAGATAAACAAAGCTGTAGATTCAATAATTATTGATTTTGAATTAAATGAATATACAGAGTGCCTCATATTTCCAAACTAATGAAATCTTGAGGCACTTAACAATGTATATATAAGTACTGTAAATACAGAATTGCTGTATTATATATAATTCAACTTACTTTTGTTCACAAAAGATTTGAAAATGTCTGAATAAACCATAGGAAACCTTTTTGTGTCTGGTGTATAATACATTGATTACATTCAAATCACTGTATAAGCAGAACACTTATTAGTATTACCTGTGCTTCCATACTTTTGAATGGTAGTGTATGCCCTTGCCTGACGTCACTTGGCATGTTGTCTTGAAATGTAATAAAAAAGCAAATAAAAATTCTATTTTTTATCATGTCATGTATGTTCCATAGTTTTTATTGACACTGTTCATTCAGAATCAGCACAGAGATTTCAGACTGGCGGTCTTTACCTGATGAGTGGCTGACTGTTGACCAGTGTGCAGCAGCTGTGTTTCCTGAACACTGTGTCCTTGGCTGTAGATGCTGTTATTGCTGTTTTCCACTAGGGGGCGCAGTGTTACAAGGCACGCGCTGCAGCACGCGCTGCAGATGTCCTCCACATCAAAGGCGCTGTTCATAATGCAGCAGTAATGATGGAGGCAGAGCAGTGGAGCGCATCAGCACACCGCCGTCAGCTGAGCTGAAGCCTCAGAGTCAAGAGCTGTATTAAATAAGATAACACGAACAGTGTCCTCTATCTATCTATCTATCTATATATCTATCTATCTATCTATCTATCTATATATCTATCTATCTATCTATCTATCTATATATCTATCTATCTATCTATCTATCTATCTGTCTCACGCTGACTTGCTCTGTGTTGGTCACCTTTCATGCATTTTCTCTCTCTCTCTGTAGGTCTGTTTCTCTCTTTACCTATCTATCTACAGTGTGTCTCTTTCACTCGCTATCTGTCTATATCTGTCTATCTGTGGGTCAGTCAGTCTCTCTCGATATGTCTCTGTCTTTCTCTTTCTCTTTGACTCTCTTTCCCTCTCCTTTTCTCTCTCTCTCTCTCTCTCGGTAGGTCTCACTCTCCTCTCTCACTCAGTAGGTCTCTCTCTCTCCCTCTCTTTCTCTCTCTCTCTCTGTCGTTTTCCCTCTCTCTTTGATTCTCTCTTCCCCTCGCCTTTCCTCCCTCTCTCTGACTCTATCTCTCTGACTCTCTCTCTTCTTTTCTCTCTCTCTGTCTCTATCGCTCTGACTCTCTCTCTTTCCTTTTCTCTCTGACTCTTTCTGTCTTTCTCTCTCTCTGACTCTCTCTTTCTCTCTCTCTCTCTCTCTCTCTCTCTGACTCTGTCTTTCCCTCTCTCAGACTCTCTCTCTCTTTTCTCTCTCTCTCTGACTGTCTTTCCCTCTCTCTCTAAATTCTCTGTCTGACTCTCTGTCTCTTTCTCTCTCTCTCTGGATCTCTGTCTTTCTCCCTCTGTCTGACTCTCTCTCCTTCTCTCTGACACCTTTCTTATTAGCATGACTGTGAGGTACAGTATTACCATACCATGAGTACATAATAACCATATTAATTATTATAATCACAATGTTACAGTATTATTATTATCATTGTAATTATAATCATACTAATTAATAAACTAATAACATTTGCAATTTTTAACACAAATAAGTTATGTAACTTTGGGGGTCAGTAGAGTGGGGTTATGGAGGATGGGGGTATGGGGGGGTTATTACCCACTGTCTCTCAGGCGGTGACATGTTGTTAGGTATTTAGCAGCGAGGGGGGCTGTGTGCCCCTCCCCTCTTTCTCTCTTTCTCTTTGACACTCTCTCTCTCTCTCATTTTTTGCACACATATGGAATATTATTAAGAAAGAGCTCATGATTGTCTATGGGTTGGGTTTCTTGGTTAAAGCAACACTGAAAATTAGCCCACGTACATCCAGTTTGGCAGATCACATGACTTGTACGTCTTATAAATATTCCCAAACAGTTTAACATATACAAAGGCCTGTGCTTTAGATGGACTTTAACAATTAAAAGCTGTGTTTGGCTAAATCGCCGGTTCACAGTCATATTATGATCACTGATTTGAGTAAGTGAAATCCAGTCAGCATCTCTGATCCAGTGTGCCCTCACATGTCACATCCATGGAGCTACAGTTTTCAGCTCTATCAGAATGTATGATGTAAGACAGGAGGTGTTGTTTTTTTTCTCGTCCTGTGTGGCTGAAGGACCATCTAGCATTTACATTGACTCAGTCTATTGGCAGTCAGCATGTTTAATATCAGTGATGTAACTGAAACTGTCTATTCTTGCAGTGATATTTTTTGGAATGTGGCAATTTTGACTGCATATGTTTATTTTAAAATGGGGCATGTATATACACCAATCAGGCATAACATTACGACCACCTCCTTGTTTCTACGCTCATTGTCCATTTTATCAGATCCACTTACTATATAGGTGCACTTTGTAGTTCTACAATTACAGACTGTAGTCCATCTGTTTCTCTGCATACTTTGTTAGCCCACTTTTACCCTGTTTCTCAGTGGTCAGGACCCCTCATGGACCCTCACAGAGCAGGTACTATTTGGGTGGTGGATCATTCTCAGCACTGCGGTAACACTGACGTGGTGGTGGTGTTTTAGTGTGTGTTGTGCTGGTATGAGTGGGATCAGACACAGCAGTGCTGCTGGAGTTTTATACACTGGTCCACTCACTGTCCACTCTATTAGACACTCCTACCTTGTCAGTCTGCCTTGTAGATGTAAAGTCAGAGACGATAGCTCATCTGTTGCTGAACAGTTTGTGTTGGTCATCCTCTAGTCCTTCATTAGTGGTCACAGGACGCTGCCCACAGGACACTGTTGGCTGGATAATTTTGGTTGGTGGACTATTCTCAGTCCAGCAGTGACACTGAGGTGTTTAAAAACTCCAGCAGCACTGTTGTGTCTGATCCACTCATACCAGCACAACACACACTGACACACCACCACATCAGTGTTACTGCAGTGCTGAGAATGATCCACCACCCAAATAGTACCTGCTCTGTGAGGGTCCATGGGGGTCCTGACCACTGAGAAACAGGGTAAAAGTGGGCTAACAAAGTATGTAGAGAAACAGATGGACTACAGTATGTAATTGTAGAACTACAAAGTGCACCTATATAGTAAGTGGAGCTGATAAAATGGACAATGAGCATAGAAACAAGGAGGTGGTCATAATGTTATGCCTGATCGGTGTATGTCCAAAAGTTTATAGACACCTGCTCATCCAACTTTTCTC